TAGGCAGACAAAACTCGATCTTGTCGCTGACTCTTGAAGAGATTCAGATGAAAAGTGGCAAGAGCTTCGGGGCCATGAACATGGACGAGTTCCTCGCGAACTTGTGGACCACCGTAGAGGAAAACGACAACGGAGGAGGTGGGACCCACCACGACGGAGAGAAACCGACCTTACTTCCACGTCAAGGGTCGTTGTCAGTCCCGGTACCTTTGTGCAAGAAAACCGTCGACGAGGTTTGGTTCGAGATACAAAACGGCGTACAACCACCGTCATCAACTCCCGGTCAAAACTCCGACGATGATATCCGCCGGCAACAAACCCTTGGTGAGATCACGCTCGAGGATTTTCTGGTTAAGGCCGGGGTTGTACAAGAACCTTTGAAGGCAACTATAAGGATGGCGAGTTCTGATTTCGGTTATAACCCGGAGTTTGAAGCCGGTTTACATTGTCAGAACCAAAACAATTATGGTGATAACCGGTCGGTTTACAATGAAAACCGGCCGTTTTACTCGGTTTTGGGAGAATCCTCAAGCTGTATGACCGGGAATGGGAGGGGCAATCAGTTTTTAACAGGTTTAGATGCTTTTCGGATCAAGAAGCGGATAATTGATGGTCCGCCCGAAATTTTGATGGAGCGGAGACAGCGACGGATGATTAAAAACCGTGAATCTGCGGCTAGGTCTCGAGCCCGAAGACAAGTAAGTCGGAGTTTAGACCGTAAGATCTAGATGCTATACATAGAAACGTCATTTATGTTTTGGCATATGCATCTCATAATGTGGTTTCATTCTTATAGGCGTATACTGTGGAATTGGAGTTGGAATTGAACCAACTCACGGAAGAAAACGTGAAGCTGAAGAAGATCGTGGTACTTTCATTATTACTACTACATGTATTAGCACATTTCTTATCTGGAAAGAAATATCATATTAACATTTTCAATTTATAATTTTTTATTGGTAGGAGGAAAATGAGAAGAAAAGAAGGCAAGAGGTACGAATCAAACTTCATATCTGTTATAAGATATAAACCAATCATCTCTCAAAAAAAAATAACGGAAAATTTCCATTTGTACTAAAACGGTCATCGGATGACATGAGTATGGATTAATAAAAACACATAGCTTTTTATTTTATTTTATTAATATGAACTATGTTAGATTCAACGTTGACTTTACTGGAGTTCACATGAGTTTCAATTCTAATGAGCGTTATAAAGTACATATATCGTTATGTAACCGTGTAAGGCCATCTCCATCCATGGTTCTTAAGGGTTGTCTCTTAAATTAAAAATTATTAAAACACACACTCTCTTTTCCTTATACTCAACTTTATACATTTTCTTTCATCTTTTTACTCAATTTTTATTAATTTTATATTTTAATACACCCCATTATTTCAAAACAAATTCTCCAAAAGTATCTAAAGTATCAACTTTAACATACTCTCTCTTCTTTTTACTCAACTTTTATTAATTTTATATTTAAACACACTCCAACTTTCATCCATTCTCTCTCCAACTTTGTCTTCCACGAGACATTCTCTCTCCAAAAATACCCACTATCTCCTCTTTTTACTCAAATTTTATTAATTTTATATTTCAATACACCCCACAAAAATACTCTTTTTTCCTTTTATTCAAATTTTAATAATTTTTAATTTAAGAAACAATCTTTAACAACCCTTAAAAACCCCCATGCTCTAAGAAATTGGTTTTGGAAAACTTTAATGATAATTAATGTAATGGCATGCAGGTGATGAATAGAAGCATGCAAAGTACGAAAGAGAAGAGCGGAGACAAATTGAGAAGGATTCGGAGGATGGGTAGTGCCGGGTGGTAGATTGAGAGTTTGTGTAAT